ATCCAAGGGTTGAGGGTTCGAATTCCAACCTCCAGCATTAAAGATAAACTCCAGTACTGGTAAAAAAAAAAAAAAAATTCTCACAGAATCAAACGAAACTTACACTGAATGTTCAAGATTACAAATAAATGACATGTGCCAAACAATTTTGGAAGAAAATGTATACTGGCTGAGTAATGAGCATAGAAACACAAGGAAATCAAGGTAGTACTAGCCCCGACACCATGTGTGTTGTCCCATATATAGCTTTCTATGTGAGTGCTTGTTACTTTACCAAGACTAGGTCAAATTTATTATGATTTTGATGAATCCAGAACCTTGCAGTGCACACCAATACTTACATGCTACACGATCAACTGTTTCTGATCCTTTCCACACCATTTCTTTCACAATGCAATCGCATTACCAGTACTAAACTTTAACGTCCTTTAGCAAGACATTAAAGCACATTTGCCACTCTCCACCCAGGTGTAAATAGGTACCTGATATGCCAAAGCACTACCAATGTGGCCGCCAGCTATGACCGGGGTAATAATGCAGGATAGCTTGGGGCGTCAGCAGGATAAACATGGATGCTATATCAGAACCCACCATTATTATTATTATTATTAAAATTTAGGAATACCTCGTAGTATGTATAGATGAAGGCATCCCTACATCTATGTTGTCTGCACGAACCTAGAAGGGGTATAAATCATTCAATTAATGCAGACTCTAAAACAGACAGTATTATGGGTTGAGATCCAGAATGGAGAACTTGTTTAGTTTTACACAGACTCAATGAATTGAATTGAATTGAATTGTTTTATTGTCCTTACAAAATGGAAATTTGTTGTTCACAGGTACAGGTGTTACAAACAATGTACATTATTATACAGATTATAAAACATAATAACAACATAACATCAATGGTGTTAGATCCAACGATACAATGTGATTACTTGCCTAGGAATGGAGGAAAACAATACAATAATACAATGTCTACATTACTTGCCCTCGTTCGTCTTACCCTACTGTTGTAAATGTGAATCGAATCCGGCACAAATGAACGTCTGAAGCGTTGCTTCCAACTGCAAACATTTTCATTTTTCTAAATTACAACACACAGACACTGAAAGGCAATGACATACATATGCACATGTGGGACTACATACATGTCGTTAATACGTCGGCTACTGACATAATAGCTTAGATCCCTTGTTTTCCTTTCATCCCTTGTTGTTTTTCTTTCATCATTTCTCAGCTTTGTGTATTCTCTACAAATTGTATTCTTGAACTTTCATTGCAAATTGTTTGATTGTTAGAGAATGTTATTTGTTTTTAATGCCAGAACATGAAACAGTCTTTAAGCTGTATTTGAAAGGTTTAACCAGTTTGTCGGGGAATTCAGAGAGCTGGCTGCCGATCGAGCTTCGTTTATTTGTCATAATCTTCCCGCTCCCCGCAGAATAGATCCTCGGATCTGTCGGCATTAAAAGCGCTGTAATCCGTAAACTTTTAACCTCCCGGGAAAAGTACAGCCTTGATAGAGCGAAAGAGAGAGAGAGAGAGCGGAATATCATTGCCGGCTCATTATTCTGCCTCAATTACACCACATGTTTAGCGTTGTGGAAGTGTCTCTTGCTCCAAAACAATGCTCTCTATTCCGTTTTGATTAGATTTTAATGTGTTGTTGCTCCAATGTGTGTAACCTAGCTTCACTTTCATGTGTTGCAATTTTTTTCTTACAACACATTTTATTTCAAATTTGTTATTAAGCAAAATGTATGTAAGTTTATCTATTATGAAAGATTATTTTGCTGATGTGAAGAGAGAGATTATATATGTTGTTTTTGTGAGTTGAGAAATATTTGAGTTGCTGTCAGTAAGTAAAATTCAAGAAAATGCTGGGTGAATCTGTTTTTCTTTCTAAGATACATATATCAGCATCATGATAAGCTAAAAAAAGTCAATTGTGATTTGAAGTGAGGCTATTACCCTGCTCTGAAGGAATACAAACACAAAACAGGAGATGTTATTGCGCACTTGTGAAGAGATTGAAGTGAAAGCTGGCTTCATCACAGTAGGAAGTTATTTCTTAAGCAATCTTTTGATTGATGCAGATCCTAAAGTGTCACATAGAAGCCAAGATATTTGTTTGATTGCTTGACTAGCACAGGATATTCATCGTTAGCTGTTTTCATGAATTAATAGAAGATCTGTTTGTGCCAGCAGTTCAAGATTCAAGTTTATTGTCCAGAATAAAACAGAAATTTCTTCTCCTTTGGTGTTACATACAATATAAACATAGGAATAGACATGATATTGTATGTTGAGAGACAGAAAGATGTTAAAGGTATTACAAAGTTTTGGGAAATATTGAAAAATGGGTGGATAGTGATTCTTTACAATTTTAATATATTTGGATGCCCCTGTGAATGTACTAAAAAACACCAGAAATTTTAGCCCCTAAAACATTTCTGCTTTCGTGAAAAATGGAATATAAAGATTTACTGGTGCTCCCGGTAAATTTTGATAAATTTCAAATAGGTCCTACGGCCGTACAAAGGTAGCTGCGACCATGAAAATCACAGAGTATGTACGGTAGTTGTGGCATATAATTCGGAACGAGAATAGCTAATCGGTCAATTTTAGTCAATAGACATTATGTTATAGCTTAATTAATATCTTGACCTTGAGAGGGAGCTATTCAACATGAAGTATTTATTATTTAAAATTTCATAACTTTAGAGTCGATTTCGACCGTGACAACGATCACTGAATATTGTAGGATCTTATATGCTTCCAATATGTTCAATTGAACCAAATTCATGACCCGGCCATACCAAAACTTTGTATTACCTTTAATGTTGTGCAAGAATGATTCAAGACCATTCCAGGCTCTCACCAGAGGGGGGTATATCATAACAAGAACATTATTCTGAGTTACATCATAAATGCATTCACACATGAATAGCGAACTGATATATATATTAAAAAATACTGATATAAGTGACTTCCTCCGAGCAAAAAAGAAGAGGAGAGAGACAGCTAGAGGGAATGAGAGAGAAAGAGAAAAAAGAGGGACAAAGACTGAAAGAAAGAGAGAATGATCGAGAGAGAGAGAGAGTGAGTGAGAGTTAACACAATTAATGCTGAGTTTTTTAAATGAGATTTGATCATGCTTGGACACGTAGGCCTCCATGTATTGGTGAATAATCATGTACAGCCAAACCTGCTTTAGCAACCACCTGTACATAAAGACCGCTTTATCTGTCTCACTTGAGAGGTCTTTATATACAGGTGTCACTGTACTACTAGGAAGGCATGTGATTGCAACTTGTCTTCAGAAAAATTATTGAACTATATTGACACTTTTGGCATTCTATACTTAAATGGGCAGTCCTGTGGTAATGGGCAAGAACATTAAGAATCATGTAATTAGGATGATTATAATTCCATTTGACAAAACAATCAATCATTTTTATAGCTTGGATGCTACACTGTTTCCCATTTTGCAAACTCTTAATACACAAAGTTCTACCCAACTAAGGTGAATTATCTGAAACATAGTCATTTGTTGAACATATTCCAAATTTTTGATGACGTAGTCAACAGACGACACACCTCCATTCCCGATTCCTGGCATCTCTCGCCAACTTTGCTTTGTTTGATTTTCTGTTTTACGCAGTATGGTGAACCATTCGGAGAAGTAAAGTTCAATTAATTGTCGCTGTGTCCGTTTGGCTATCTCACAGTTGACGGTTTGCCAACTTTGAAACATGTTTACAACTGTTTTTGAAGTGTTTTAAGTCCAAATCTCTTAGTAGATCAAGAGCATGATAATATTTGTTTTGAAACAGATGTGGGTGATTTTGCACGAATCTGTTTGGATTTATTGCAGGATTGCTGTAGATTTATAAGATGATATGTTATCATTTCAGTTTGCCTACCCGCTAGGACATCAGGACCAAATGTTCAAATGGACAAGCACAAATTAATAGAACTTTGTCGTATTGTAATCAAATTAAATGTACAAATCTTTGTTAAGTGCCTTGACATTACAAATCATCTCATTCACTTCTTACAAATAAATGAATTTCAATAATCAGAACGCAAATTGCATACATTAGTGTTGCTAGGTAGGGCAATCATTATGGCTTGTCCTTTTTACAACACGTATGCCATCATACTTAACAGATCAATAAAACAGTTTGTAAGTAAGGCTTTGTGGAAGCAATACATCGTGGTAATAGTGGTAAGAGAAGTGCTTTGCACAAACTGGACATGACTTTAAACCACAGCAGGATTATTATGACGTCCGTTAACTTCCGTACTCCAAAAACCTTCCTCGGCGCCATTACGGTATTCCTCGTAAAACATTGCCAACCAGCTATGGGGCAGGAAGGAAGTGGCTCAATTAGTTGAGACATTATCTGTAATGATATTAACCTTTTTGTTTCGGGGAAGCCCTGAATAGTTATTGTTTAATGTGACATCATTTCTGACGGATGGTTGAGGAGGAGATGCAGAGACTGTCATTATTATTCTTTTTGTTGTAAGGCCTGCTGAGTTTAATTTGCTCTTTTCTTCTAGCACCTTTTCTGACAGTGGATGTAGAAATTGCACTCCACTGTAAACAACAAGTCAACGATACACCTGAGATATTGCCTGGTCTAATATTTATATTGGCATTCGATAGAATATATTTACACTAATACACCATGTATGTCTTAATATCCTCCTTGAATATTTTTCTGCAGTTGAACTTGGTAACCTTGAAAATTGTGCTTAAGGCTTTCCTGACATAGCAACAATTGATCTATTTGTATGCATTAACTCTCCTTGATCAACAATAATTATTTCAAAAGTGAATACCAAAGAAAATCACCGACCAATTGAGAATTTTTTTTTATGAATTTAAAGATATTGGTACATTTTCTTGTGTTGAGCAGAATTAATGAACTTCATAACATTTGTTTAATCAATTTTTTCTTTCTTTCTTTCTTTCTTTGTTTCAGCGGAGAGGTGGGATATCTTTTGACCGTGCGGATAAGACAGCTCTTTATGTTCGAATGCTTGGTGAGTAGAGAGGGTGCACATATTACACCCACAGTCTTTTCTTATGTATTTCCTCTTTCCCCTTTTTTCCCTCCAAAAAAAAAGCTAGACTCATTGGTCCAAATTCACAAAGGAGGTTTAACATAACCCATGGTTTAAACCCTCATTTACATAATCCATGGTTTAAAAATTAGTGTTAAAAAAGCGTATCTTGTCTCTGACTGTGTCGCGCTTATTTTGCGCAAATTTTAAACCATGGGTTATGTAAATGAAGATTTAAACTATGGGTTAATGTAAACCTCCTTTGTAAACTTGGGCCATTATGTAGACTCTAGACCATATCTTTACCCTGGTTCTTATCATATTGTCTGACACATCTTATTCTTCTTCTGCCTCTTCCTCTTCTCGTAAATCAATGATTATAAAGCAAAGAATGACACGGTGACCTGACAAACTTGACCTAGTAGAGGGGCAAGCAAATTGACATTAATTAGCTCAAGGGTATACCTCTTCCTGCCCCTGATCAACTGTCTGTCTATAGACCCAGTTAGGATGACCCCCTGACTCCTCCCCCCCCCCCCCCCCATAGACATTAGCCCAGGGTGCGTTCAAGTGACACTTTTTCACTTTAGAAATGCGGTTTGCAAAGACGTTAAGTTTAAAACACGGTTGCGTTCAAGCAATTTATCGTTGGTCGTGAAAATAAACGGTTTCAAAACGTAAACATGAAACACTGAACAAGATGCATTTTGTAATGTGATTCTAGAATCGTGGTTGCTGAAAAGCGCTTGAACGCACCCTAAGTTTTCAACTATCACTGCAGAATCGTCCCCCTCCTCCAGATTGGGTCTATTACCAGTAGAACTAGATAGTATTCTCACAGCTGCCATGTTAGGCTGTTTGTCCATTTGTCTGTTTGAAGCCAGAAGGGCATTAACTCTTATATTTTAACACAGAGTTAATGCCCTTCTGGCTTCAAGAAGATGAATTAAGATTGAACCCTGCCCATGGTACAGTTCGTTTCCACATGGAAATTAATTAATTAATTAATGGGGCCAGTTTACACTGGTTGTAATTATTTTCAAGTTACCAAGTTAATCACATCATCTGCTGAAAGCCAGACGCAGATAAATGTAAAATAAGTTTTAAAAAATGAATCACTTTTGGCTCCTAGCTACTCCTAGCTGACAGACATTATGATGTCAGTAATTTCAGCTAGCAAGTGAGGAATGTGCCAAATCCTTGTTGTCTTAATTGTTTGTACAAGGTTTAACAGACTTTTGGTCCCACCAATAGCCCTCTCCCCTCCCCTGATCCCTACACTTCTACACTTCTGGTAGGGGCTCACGCCACTCTTCCACATATTAACTAGGAACATATTAATTAATATTTCACTTCACACAATGGGAACTCAAACAAATGTGTGAGTAATTTATAGTGTGGCCCACAAACCGAGCGCCTGTTTGAAACATGACCCAGAATCATTAACAGAAGAATGAGCCCAAATTGGCAGCCTTTTCTCTGCTTTAAGGGTACTTAAAATATCTTTGTGACATAAAACTATCATCCATTGTTAATGCCAATTATATACAATAAATTTTTGCAAGTGTAAATATTCAGTGTTGTTTTTTAATGCCACACAATTTAGACAAATCTGGAACACTTGCAAGTTTCTCACAGACTCATTCACAAAAGTTTGACAAAATATTAAGTGACATATTAAAAAATCTTTGTTGGCCATTGAATTGATCTAGGAAGATGGCATATTAAGGCAAATATAAGAAGAAGACCTTGATTATTATTTTCCCTGAACCTTATTTGCAAACTTTAGTTAGCATAATATTGAGGAAATCAATCTAATGATCTTATTCTTTCAGAAATACTTCACCTTTAGTCATTTCTTTGTTAGCTATGATATTTCAAAGTGATTCTGTGTCTTTAAAGATATTCAGGGCCAAATTTCATGATGTTTAAACAATTTTGCAAGAGGACTACTCAATCTTTTAAGCAATAAGCGTGTTTGTGTGAGAGCGATACAAAACTACCTTGCGCAACGCATCCCCATCAACCTTGTGAAGACTGTTTAAAAAGGGTTCCACTTGTGAAATAGTAAAACTGGATATATAGGAACTGAAAGTAACATGATGCAAAAATCAAAATATGTTTTCCTATTTTAAGCAATCTTGTGGCAATAGTTGTTTCTGATCGAGGGATACTGATTCTAATATTACTTGTGAAGAAACTGAAATTTGACACGAGTTTCACTGTTAAGGCTTGTTCAGACATGGCCCAGTAACCACTGCACACAACAATGGACTTGTTATAGATTTTATGTTGTTAGGACGTTTTCTGAACGTGTAATAACGTCATCATATAACGAACGCAAGGGTTTGCCGTGTCATGTCCGAACAAGCCTTAAAGGGGAAGTCCACCCTGAAATTAAGTTAGTTTTAATAGGAGTAGAAAAATGAGAGAAACAAGTCGGTGAAAGTTTGAGCAAATTCCGATTAAAAATAAGGAAATTAGGATTTTTGAAGTTGTGATCAATCAAACACAAATTGGCAACTCTATGACGTATCATGCGAGCTCAACTTCCATTTGCTCAGTACTAAAAAAATCTAAAATTTTCATTTTCCCTCAAGAAAAATTTCAACCATACATGCACCCTAAATATAATAATTGCAAATATGTTTCTATACTCCCCCTGCAAGGAACAAATATATATTCCGTCATCAATAACGAAGAAAACATGATTCTATGGAATATTATGCACAAAGCAAATGAAGGAGAGCTCGTATAATAAGTCACAGAGTTGCCAATTTGTATTTGATTGATCACAACTTCAATAATTCATAACTTTCTTATTTTCATTCAGAATTTGCTCAAACTTTCACTCACCTGATTTTCTTATTATTCTGCCTCTATCGAAACAAACTTATTTTTGGGGTGGACTTTCCCTTTAAGTAGTTTTGGCAAAAGTATGAAAAAAAAGATGCTTTGTACATGCTCCTGAAGTCATATCAGAATTAATATACTTGAGTAAATTACCTTAGTAAGTTATCAAATAAAATGGATGGTTTAGTGTTGAACATTGGACAGATTTACAGAGAAGTTGAAAGAAGGGCAGGAAAGAAATTTACCTGCGTAAGACAAGTTTCACTTTAGATTGTGTACGGGAATTTCCTTTTACATGTATGTAGATGATGGCGGGTTTTGTAAAATATTGATATTGAGAATTCAATGCCTTCAAGTTGATTAGAAGTGAAAGGAAAGGAAAGAATTTACTTTTGTGGGGGATGACTTTCATATTCATAGCATTGTTTTTATTGAATCAGTTTAGATTGATGCACTTGAATTCCTTTTGTGATGGTTGTGGTCGGAAGTTGAACATTCAATGTGAAGCATGCAAAGTACTTGAATAAAAAGATGAATTTCATTTAGCGTGGGACAAGTTCACTATGTCCGGAAGTTTATTGGGGAAAGAGTCTGAATTAATGCTTGTAAATTCCCTTTTTGTGCTAGATATCGGTAAACTACTGGTCATCATAATAATAAATTATTACTTGCTCAAAGATCAACTGTTCTCCTCAAAATCCCCTTGCACATGACACTTGCTCAAATCAGCTAGTATATAAACCTGTCTTCTTCATATACATTCACAATTGTATGGAATAGTTTATTATACAGAATACTGAACGAATCATTTATTCAACAGATTCCCCCCCTCCCCCCTAAAAAAAAAGAATGATTAAATAAATTTAAAATTGGTAATCTCTTGCATGCAACAAATTGGCCGAAGGTTGCCATGGTAACCTTGCTCTGACAGTGACAACCACTTTGGCAACAACAGCTCTGAGCTTCGTTTCGCCAAAGATGTAGGATTAGGATTAGGGTATTAATACGATAATGGATTAGCTTTAGGATTAGTGTTAGTGTTAGGTCCTGGGTTGAAATTAGGAATTTGGTTATTGTAGGATTCTGCCACAGAGCAATTTCCACTAAAGCATTAGTCGTACAAACCATGCACCTCATATTTTCAAGGTTCAAACACGAGACTGCAATGTGGAAGTTGTTTGACCTCATTCTTTCACTCACCCAAGAACCGTCGGTAGCTTCCTATACATGGAACTTAATTATGACTTTGATGTTAGCGAAGGATTATCTCGGTCCTGTTTGGGTACGGAGCATGACAGACGCAGGATTTAGATAGGCCGTCGGGGCTATGTCAGGCCGAGACACAAGGTCATAAACAAGGTCAGGGGCGGAAGGCGTTTTGAAGGAATAAGGAAGGGAAGGCATTACATGATTGATGTTTGTTGGTTTGCATGAGATTAAAAGGCATTTCATTAGTAGTTGCCCCTAAATTATCCGGTGGGAATGTTGAAGATAATTCCTTCAGTATTCTCTAAAGGTTTGCATTTTTGGAGTTAAAGAGAAGATTGAGTTCTGGGAAGAGGTAAAAATAATTTGTAAGCATTATCATTGTTATTATGTAAGTGTGGAAGAACATCAGATAAAACATGCTCCCTGAAAAGCATGGCTCTTCAAATGCCATCATATTCTAAATATGGCATGTAACATCGTAAAAGATCGTCTCCACACTGTTTCTTTTACAATGCAATCGCATGACCACAACTCAACTTTATCTTTAAAGTTATGAATTGCATTTCTACATACTACCACTGAATATATGCCTACCACTACCACTACCACTGCCATACCACTATATGCCACAACTAGTCAGTATCCTCTGTCATTACCCCTACCACTACCACAACCAGCTACAACTATTCACTTTTATCACCACTACCACTATCCACTACAACCATCTGCTACCACTTGCACTACCACTACCGCTACCATTTATATGACTACTCCAACCACTTCTACAAGTCCTACTTACATTATGACCACTAGTGCTCTTCTTGTTTCCATCTTTCTTCTAAAGCTAGTATTTAAATTGCAACAACCTCTAGTTTTTTTCTTCAAATTCTACAATTGTTTCTACTACCTATGACCCTTTTGCCTCCTGACTATCATAAATACATTTCTTTTATGTTGCATGTAATTGTAACTCCCACTACACAAAACATGTGATGATGAGACTCAAAGCTACTGACACTAATGACTCACAAGCACCATAGGCCTGTCTTCATCAGCTCAAGTTTGCCAAATAACCCGCTATTTTCAGACTCGTAATATTATCCTGAAGCTCGAAATTGCGTCTTCACCAGAATGTTACGTTCATCACTAACTAGCTCGGACGGGCGCAAATTAGCCCGCTATTTCCCAAATAGTGCGATATTTTGGGAATAAGACCAAGATTTCTCAGCATATTTTCTCGACAAATATCCGCTCATTGGAACTGCAGGCTGATGGAGATTCAAATTAACTGGTCAATTAGCGATTGGGATAGTTAAAATGGCGGGTTATTTGGCAAACTCGAGCTGATGAAAGCAGGCCTCGTGTGAAGAGCTTCCTCAACATGAATGCACCAACCATTCAGCGTACGCTCTAATTAGTTTGTGATTCAGTCATAACCAGAAGTGCATTATTAATTGCAGCAATCACTATCATCATCATTATTATTTGAATGTTCACTTTTTTGTCTTTTCAGGTGATGTGATAGTTCACGGCAAACTGGTGACAACGGAACCTATACCGTTTCCCCGGGTCCCCGAAAATGTATATAAGGCACCAGAGAGTAAGTAGACATGTAACACGCTTTCACTTTTTTTTTAAATCAGCAGTTTCTTCTTCCTCTTAAAAGCCCCACTGCACTACTTATAGCTACTTGCGCCCTCTATAGGCAAACAATGACTAATTGGTGCCTGTTGGTCCCCCATAGTTCCTTTTTTCTTATGTTAATTGAGAGCTGATTTGGTGAGATAACCACCTGTCAGTGACCATGCAGGGAGGTCTAATCCCTCCTGGCCAAACTAGTGTAAAGGGGCTTTAACAGCCGGTCTCATATCACTCATACTAGTAACTGCACCTTTAAAATCAGTTTCCTGACTTATCTGGAAAGGTTATAGGTATTGATACTAGCCCTCCCCCCTCCCCCTCCCCAATTTTTTTTACAGTAACTATCTTACTACGCCTATTTGTCTGGATACGCCCCCATGATGCCCCCTGTCGTGCCTCATAAGCACCGGTGCGGCAGAGGTTCATGCACGGCTTCATCTCGCATCCCGTTTCCGTCTTTTTTTTGTTTTCCAAACATATTGGTCTCTTGCTTCAATGAATAATAGAATGATGCACTGGGTCAAAGCTGCATGTTCAATACAGCATAACTAGAGAGAGCCTTACCCAGACAAGAGGATGCAAGGAACATCTTGCATGATTTCTCCCTGTATTTCCACCATTTTTTGCATTAGCTACCCTTCCCCCCCCCCCCCCCTCTCTCTCTCTCTCTCTCTCTCCCTCCCTCTCTCTCTCTCTCTCTCACTATATCTTGCTCGCTCTTTCTCTCTGCATTCTTTCTTTAATTTGTGTTTGTATGTCATTTCTTTTCTTTTTCTTCATAATCTGATCTGATCTCATCGGTTTTACTCCTCTCCCATTCCCCCATCTCAATATCTCTCTTCTCTATCTCTTCTTTTAAAATTCAGTTGACTGTTTGATTGCACCCCCATAGACTTTCTGTGTAGTTATCAATGAAGATATCAGTTAGGGTGAGATTCATGTAGGGGCCTCTCATCATGGTCCATAAACATCACGCCTAGAAACATAACAAACTGACTCTTTCCATTGCAATAAACAGAAGATAGATATCTCAAATAGTCTACTGCTATCAATATTTTTACTGTGAATTCGCAGAAATTGTTTTGTCATTGACAGAGATAATATCTGACCACATCTATTTCCTATTGTGCAACGAAGGCAACAGTTTTTGCTACATCATTGATCGATGTTATATGACGTAGTCATGTGGAGATATATAGTATTTGCGTTTTATCTTCACAACTGGATTACTTTTACCACTGATATGTAAGGTAACTGAAAAACCAAAACAATAATTAAATTCCTGAAAAATCTTTAAATTGTATATGTATACAGTGTATATTGATTTCAGAACTTTGTCGGTCCTGCATATAACATGAGGGTCTGTTATTCATTTTGAAAACGTGAAATTGCATAATCTCCCTAAGCAAACAAGCCAAGCCGCTGCTTCTCGGGCATTAGGTGGTATAATCTTACTGTATTTTAGTGGAATGAGTGTATTTTCCAGTTCGTTCGTGTGGCCCAAGCACTGCGCCCCCTGCAAAACCATCGAAACCGAATCCGAGTCGGGTTACTGTGTACACTCGTCGCATTACAAAGTTTCCAGAAATTCAAGAGCAGGAGGAAATCCCGAGCTATCTTTCCTGATCCCTAATATTCCATCTTGTCCTGCAAGCTTTTTCCCCTCTCTCTAATGCCCTTCACCCGGACCATGTTTCAAGAGTGCATATATTTGCTCTCGACTCATAGGCCATACGTAGAATCGAATGACAGGGACTAGAGCAAAGCAATCAGGCTCTTAGTGACATGTGGGAGCTGTCAAACTAGTTGTAAATAGTGGTCAATGTTCATCATGGTCTTGTAAAAGTGAAAAGTTATAAGACGTAGTAGAAAATAGGAAGGAGGACAAGATGAATGAAGAAGAAGAAGAAGAAATAGGATGATGGAGAATAATAGGAAATATGAAAGATGAAATAAGATATGAATAAAGGGAAAAAAAAAAGAAAAAAGAAAAGAAGAGGAATCAACAATAGTTGAAGTAAGAAGGAGAAAAACCAAAAATAGAATCAGAAGAAAAGACAAAGACATATCATATTTCTTGCTTGCATTTTGATTATAAAAGAAAGGATGCGTAATTGTTGAAATTCAAAATGTTATCACACAGAAATTGAACGACATTTTTAGGATATGAAGCTGGTAAATAAATGTATATCTCAATTACACTCAATGTTACCTAAAATTCCATTCAGATATGTTTTTTAAAAAATATCTTTTTGTTTTTTTGTGCCACTATAAAGCTACCTATAATCCTGTTTCTTCCTCATTTCCGATCCAAATTTACAATGAAATTTATACTAATATTAGATTGTCTTATGTGTGAAGAAAATACCTCATTAAAGATTAAGCAAAAAAATATCCAAGCAAATCAATTTTTGATGTTTTGATGTATTTTTCAAGCCTAAAATGTCTTCTAATTGTTTATTAGTACTCATTTTAGCAGTAAGTCATACAAGAAACTCATCTTTTCAACTGAATTCAGCTTTGATGCTCAAATGACTACAAACATATGACCCATTTCTTCTCTCTCTTTTTTTAATCTACAGTTTTGCCCTGCAACAAGATTCGGCGGACCAGCCTACAGACGCCCACGGTGGCGGCCATTGAACCCTCCCCGCCATCAACGTCAGCTTCGCAGGCGAAGCAGGCGAAGAATGATGACGGTAGCGACGACCAGGCGAAGTTGTCTACCGTCCAACAGCGCACACACCCTACAGTACTCCTCGATGCTGCCTATCACGGAAATGCACATGTAAGAAACCTAGCCATTTTAATAATTTATGCAAATTTATGCTCTTTTTTTAATAAGAAATTTATTCCAAGGCCCTATGTTTTTTTTGCTACATTCTGTGAAAATTGTTTTATGTCAATTACAGAGCTTACGATTACCTTTAATGTCCACTGTGGAAGGGTCTCAAATGGAGGGCATCTAGGGCATCTAATCTAGATCAGTGGTTCCTTATAAAATAGCCAATATTGACACTTACCCTTCTTTGTGTTGTCTGATGGCTATCAAGGCAGATAATGGAAGCGTTTTGTTGACGTCAATGCAGGCCTTGCCAAACCAAAGACCTGTCCAACAATGTGAGGATTTGTCACAAATTTCTGCGTTTGTGGTTTGATTAGAGTCTAAGCAGACCCTGTGTCCGGCTTTTTTATTTTTTAATCATAAATTGTTTTGTATGCGTATCTTATTTCCAATTAATTTACTTACCGGTACACTGACCATAAATCTTGTTGGCCTTAATTTTGTTAAAAAGTGGGTATTTCTGAATATTTAAAATATTCATCAAATTGGCAAAATATAAATTAGATAGGTTACACACTTACATGTACTTGTATATTGTATTTCACATTTAAACAAGGGCAGTGTGTGTTGGGGAGGGGGGCATCACCTTTCCTCCTAACCACCCAGCCCTCTTTTTGTCACCCCAACACACCCCTAAAATCTGATGAGTTAAAAAAAAGTAATCTGATTGTGGCAGTTGCCAGAATTCAGATTTTTTTTTTTTTTTTTGTTGATTTTTTAACAGGAGCCCAATGTTATATGCTCAATAAAAATATGAATAATGTTTGTAGTAGCAAATGTTACAACACCGACATTGAATGGGTATGTTTTCAATTTCAAAGCTAATGTACCATGCAATTAAATATGGTTAAAATGATGAAAAGTTGAAATATTTTATAGAATAAGAAGGAAATAAATTAACAGAGTTGAATGCCGGGCATTAGACTCATGATTGCTATTTTTCCTGGTTATCACTCTATAAGTTTGTTTTACCTTTCCTCCCACCCACCCAACCCTCTTTTTTTTTCTTCGTCATCAGAGATATCAAGTGCAAATCAACACCCCTAATTCTGATGACCTAAAACAGATATTTGATGTTGGCAGTTGCAAGAATCTCCCCCCCCCCCCCCCCCTCCCCCGCAAATTTATGCTCAATAACAATGCTGGAGTAGCAAATGTTTAAACACCTACATCTAATGGGTATGTTTTCAATTTCAAAGCTAATGTACCATGCAATTAAATATAGTTAAAATGATGAAAAGTTGAAATATTCAATAGAATAAGAAGGAAAAAATAATTAAGTTGAATGCAGGGCATTAGACTCATGATTGCTATTTTTCCTGGTTATCACTCTATAAGTTTGTTTTACCTTGGTATCTGAATATGTGGTCCACAACCTTGGGGGTTTGAAGGAAATTCATCTCTGACTCACTTCGGCGTCACTCCCATGTCGATGAAAAGTGAACTGTTGTGGTTTAATAAACTACACATGTAACAAAGTAAAAACATTCCTGGTCCATTTGTAACTTGAACCACTTATACACAAGAGAGGAAATCAATATACAAACTTTGGATTTAGAAAGAAAGAAATTATTAGCTGTACAGACTACAGATGGCATAGGCCACAGTAAGTGTAGTAAGGAAGAACATGATTTGTCTCTATAAGTTTACAAAGAAAATTCAGAAATGTATAATTTCTCTTCAGATATGATCTGTTTCATACGTTTAAATAAATTTAATGTTAATTGTTATTGTATAATTGTTTAAAATTGGGCACGCTACAAGAGTCCTATCTCGCACCCGGGGCAACGTGTCTGACATGGCCGGTTGTAGCAACTACTCTGAAGATCAAGATTTAATCTTGATCTAAGGAGACACGAACAAACGAACAGATATGATTAACTGTGACTTGTTGAGATACATAAAGATCATAATAAATGTCAATTTAAAGAAATTTGTTTGGAGATGAGTGCAAAGATGTGTTTACCATAAATACACTTTTTATTTTGATAAAGTCAATCCTGATTTTATAACCAGGAAAACTTTCGTCTGATACAGATGTAGAATGATGATGTAGAATTTAAATACAATTTCAAGTAAGAAGACATCACCATTGAAGGTGTTATGTAACAAAACTGGTACTGTTTTAGAGAGAAACATTAAAAATACCAATTAGTTAGGAGCTGGAACAAAGCTATTTCCAAGTATTCTTTATTGTTTCCAAGCTGCCTGTCTTTATTAATCACATCACTGGCCTACTTGTAGTATACTAGCATCGTAAACTTTTACAATAGCATTATGGAGAAAATCAGCATGAGATTTCTGCTATGCTCTAGGGCAATTCCACGGTAACGGAAGGACACTCAGACAAGATTTTTGAACTTCAGGTTCATACTAAAAGAAATGTTTTATTAGTATGTATTAAACTAGGGGGAACAAAATGTGTTTCAGTCAAGTGGAAAGCTTCATCAACTTCACAAAGTTTGGATAAACACTAATTAACTGGAAAAACCATGTCCATTTTTATGTCCTTCCGTTACCGAGATAATTAATATGCACATTCTTAAACTACTTAACTATAATGACAATTTTTTTGGGGAGAATTAAAGGCACTCATATAGGTATTATATCTGTACTGTTTCACATCTTTATACTAATAAAACAGTTCTTTTAGTATGAACCTGAAGTTCAAAAATCTTGTCTGAGTGTCCTTCCGTTACCGTGGAATTGCCCTCTACTCATGAAAATAACTTACATATGCGACCAAGCATCACAATATTTGTTATTGTATTCATATTTATAAACAAACCATTAGGAACTAAAACATAACGAGGGCTAATATACAGCACCATGGAATGTGCATACAATAGCACAACCAAAAATAGTGTATTTGATTTGAAGCATAGCGATGTTTGGCATTCTTATTTTCTTAGAAAAAAAGGTCTAGGTTGAATTCATTTATTAACAATGGGATATGGCCTTATATACAGCTGTGATGCTTTAGAATTTAAATGAAACATAATAAAGTGATTAAGAGATAGGTAGAGCATTTGTATGTTTCTGCCGCAGTCAAGCTGCATACATAAATTCCCTTATACTTCTTTCAATCATACTTAGAGCATGTTGCCATAAAAGTCAAGAACTGCTTTGCTACTACTTAGCCGTAGGGCTCAATAACCTACCTATGTGTATGCAAGACAGAATTAAGGATCTCAAAAATGTATATAGACCCTGACATTTAATCATATCTGTTTATTATTATTTGTTGATTGCACATTGAGAAAACAATGCAAACTCTCATACAACATGAATTTGAACATGGACTTTGTGAAGTAACCCCTAAAAGTTGTGAAAATTCTGGAATCTACCTTCTAGAATATAAAACAGTTTTTGATTGGTGATTAAAGTGTTAAGAAATGTAAAGAAGTTGATGATATTTTTTTCTTCAAAGTACTTTGCACCATTTTAGCGCACTCTGGAAGTTTGGTATGAAAGTTAACCTGGTTCCAAACTTAAAACTCTCCCGGATGAGGAGCGGAAATAGGTCCAATTCTTCCTGTTCATGGTTCCCTGGCTCTAGGGACTTCCTATATGAAACACAAATACCAGAAGGTTTTTAGCCATTCTTCTTGAGCAGAGAAGTTTGTCTTTTTTGTGGTTGTTCTTTTATTTCATAAGAGGGTAAAAGAAGTAAGACATTCTTTTCTTTGGAAAAAACAAGATAATTACCCTTAGCTAGCTTTTTCTTGTGCACCTATGAATAGAAATTTGAGACAGATGGGACAATACAAAGTCTTCATACTACTACTATTATCACCACATCATCGTTATCATTATCATCATCTTTATCATTTTTTGTGTCAATAAGAAATGTAATATAAATGAAAAGGATTAAAGATGTTGCCTACTTCCCTATCAAGTTCAAGTAGATTATTTCATTTAATAAGTGGTAAAAAAAGTAAGATATGTTTTCCTTAGGAAAAAAAACAAGACAAGCTATATTTCTTTTATGCACCTATGAAAAGAAATTTGAGACAGATGGGACAATAATAATTTCTCTTATTACTATAATTATCATCATCATCATCATCATCATCATCATCATCATCATCATTATGTAATTTCATATGTAATTAAAAAATCAGTCTACCCATCTTCAAATTTATGCATAACATTCCATAGCTTTTTAGAACAAGAAGAAAATCACCAAACAAAAATTTAGGGATTCATGATCAAGAATGAAAGAATTGCGAAAGCTTATCATATCTCTGAAAACAACAGATGTTTGTTATTCAGGTGAACATGTAGATGTATAAGTAGGATGCCCCTACCTGTACTTTTCTAAGGCTACTCTCGTCCTTTGACTCAACCATGATATAGTTTGCTTTTTGATAGATCGGCCATGGAGGGAAAGGTCAAAAGCAAGTGACCGATTAATGAGACGGTGAGCAGGGATTGACCAAGATGGGTCATTTGAAGTCAGACTGCTTGGTTATAATCAGTATCTCCTTGAACTATCTCAGCAAACAATTGAAAATCAATCGCAAGATCTAGTTCTTAGTTATAGTTCCCATTGTCTCTGGCTTTAAAAACGTTTATTGATCTCAAGTGGTGCCCCACATACTAACATCCATGTATGTATGCAAGCAGGAATGTTTGACTGCTAGTTTGCTGTAATACTGTAGGCAATGGAAAAGATGCACAAGGGCAGTGAGCTGGAATTAAAGATATGGAAATTATTGCGAGAAAGTTTAGTCCTTTAAGATTTCCAGTGAACAAAAAGTGATCTTTTCATTGATTTTAGAAATGTGTTTGGACAAAGTTTATGGAGTAGTATCTCAAAAGTTATGTTGTGTACTTCTGTACAGTAGCACGCTATGAAAATAATTATAATAATATGTTGAAGCTATTGGTCGATTATATTTCTCCTAGAACTCTTACATATTATCTATTTAGATCCAGAAGGCTGTTGAATCATATACTTTAATACAGTGTTCATAAAATTCTGGCTCTCAACAAACAACATATCTTTAATCACTCACATCTCTTGCAATTATAGTTTGTTTGCTCTGCGGGATTTTTTTCTTTCTTCAATCTTGCTCAATTAATCATCTATCTCTTACAATTTGGATTGGATTTGTTGCATAGTCCCTCAAAAAAAAAGAATGTGTTATCCTGGATACGGCTCTAAGAGAAGAGCTGATTGGTTGTATTATATGCATTGATTGAACAACCTACCTTTTTATTGATTTCTGTTTTCCATGAATTTTTTCTTCATACACTTTCCTAGCTATATGGAGCCTCAGTTTTAGTCAGGAAACTTCCTGAGCGATCATGAAATATTCATTTCTCGACGACAGGTGTTTTGAAATGCCTAGAGCCCTCGCTTGATTTGAGATGGACAGTCAAAGTCAAAGTCTAGCTTCCATTGAATGTTAAGTCTGAATAAAGATGATGTCATTGATTTGAATTCTAGAGAAAACGTGACAAGGATTTGTTTTATTTTTAAGGCCGAGTCTGCTACTGTAAACGCACAAAATTGCGGGGCCGAGTAGGCCCGGCCCTGGCCCTTTTCTCACTGTAAACGGGGTCTTAGTCTCTTGCCATGAGAATCATTGTCATTAACAGTTCTCAAAACTATTGAAAGTTCCATGTCAAAAATGTTTCCAATTTCACAGTACTCAGTTGAGGAATTTGGATTATTCTTGTTCTCCTTGATTAATGATTGCATCTCTGTTTCTTCTTTCTTTATTTCAGCACATGCTTCAGAAGATCGGGCACTGGGACTTCAATATTTTCAAGTTTGATGAAATGTCCAAAGGTAAGAGCATAGATCTTCATATCCTAGTGATAATTGAGAAGTTAATTGCATTTTTAAGAGATGGAGAGATGGAAGAATGATTGGCAGGTGGATGGGCATGTGAAGTGGAGGAGAAAGGAGAGGATACATGTGATCAGATGATGAGACATGCGATTGAGGGAACGAGTGACAGAAGGGTAGAATGATTGAGGGCTGGATTGATTGAGGGATGGTGCGTTGTGAAGTGGAGGAGAAAGGAGAGGATATATGTGATTAGATGATAAGACATGCAATTGAGGGAATGAGCGACAGAAGGGTAGAATGATTGAGGGCTGAATTGATTGAGGGATGGTGCGTTGTGAAGTGGAAGAGAAAGGAGAGGATATATGTGATTAGATGATGAGACATGCGATTGAGGGAACGAGTGACAGAAGGCTAGAATGATTGAAGGTTGGATTGATTGAGGGATGGAATGGTTGAGGGATAGAATGATCGAGGGAAAGATTGAGAGAAGGATTGAGTGACGGAGGGGTACGGTGATTGAGGGATAGAACGATTGATAAATAGAGCGATGAATTAGTCTTTGATTGAATGATAGTCATGATTGGACGATGGCTGAAGTGAATTAAAGCTGATTTGGAAATTTGTGATGGCTTGACGAAGCGATGAATGAAAGAATAAGTAAATGGATGACTTAGCAGAATGAAATATGCCGTAACCAAAACTCATAAATGTTATCTACTTGTAATGAACATGAATGTGGAAATATGCATCATAATAATGAACGTAGAAATATTATACAAATAATGAATGGTTATGAGTTCAATAGTGCGAATATGTTCATGAGTTGAAAGATTAACATTCTATTCAACGAGGCGTCAGCCGAGTTGAATAGAATTAACGTTAATCTTTCAACGAATGAACATATTTGCACTATTAAACGAATGAAAAACATTCATTATTTGTTTTATACAACATCGAAGAAGACCTAATAGAACGTTAATCAACAAATTATGCTTTACTCCTTATAAAGATAAATTAAAGTTCGAGTCAAGCCTTCTCGATTACATGCAGATTGCCTTCGCGTCAGATACACGCAGGGATACGCGCACATGCAGCAGAGAGGTACGCAGTCTGCATATAACCAAAAATGCACGGCGCATATAACCAAAAATGCACGACCGTGCAATATACCATCTATTGAATATCATGTGATCAACAACCGTCCAATCAAATGACAAGGATCCACGTAGGTGTTGTATAAAACTTTATATTGAATAGCTAAATCTATGCAGTAATTGTCAGCATTTTCCTATGTTAAGAAAAGAGCCTTGCATGTCCTGGCTGAATGAAGCAGAGGAAAGAAATGTGTTGTAATCTGCTGATGATCAAATGTTGAAAGGAAGACGTCGTGTTGTAGATGTTCTTGGTAGATAGTGTGAGGAAGCAATCCAGAGCTAGGATCCATGTTTATAAGATGCGATCGTTCTCATAGATAATAAGCATAGCCGAGAGGGAAGAGGGATGCATTGTTATCATAGTGGCATGTTGACATGGACGGCTCATGAAGAATTACTCGCAAATGAAAGTTTCGATTGTACTGTTCAACATTACTGCAGGCCTCCCCCTCCCCCAACAAAGAGTTTTAAATGAAATTAAACTGTTGGAGACTGTTGAAGCATCAAATATAGTGGATAGCCATAAGCATATTGCCAAGGGGGGAAAAATGTTAGTAGTTTTTTCTTGCTGGTTATCTTCAGAGATGAAAATCCTCTCGTTCCCCGCCTACAGTTTTGTGATGGGATGTGAACTGAATATGAGTTTGGTCGTACGAGCATAAAGATTGAATATGATGAAGAAATGTTCATCAATAATGGAATAGGGTGGTAATTAATTTCCATAATATGTATCTAAAATTTAATTCATCTTCAATTATGCTATAAAATCGGTATTAATGGAAGGAATAAAAATAGTTGAAAGTGGAGTGACATGTTCACTTAGTGTATGCAAATGTTTTTCCATGGTGCCCCTTCTTATTTCAGAATCCTGGATACACCACTGCATGTATCCTTATATTTCAATGCCGTATCGGGCTCAGGTGCTCCTCGTTCATTCTCACCTTGCCAGCGTATTGAATGCATTTTTGTGTCGTTGTTGCCATCAGCGTATTATCATCATCGGTAATTTTTCACTCTTCAGCCTGGTGCAACAATCCCCTCTATTTCTCTTCCCTTCTTCGTCTCCTTTCGTCGGTTTGTTTTTGGCCAGTTTGCCCCGGAGCTGTGCGCTTCCCATCGCGACTGTCAGACGGTGAAATGGATGAGGGGATAACAGGAATATGAGCGAGTTCCCAGTTGCTATGGCAACCACGGTGATGAATTTTGCTACCGTCAATAACAAGCTCACTTTTGCAGGTGTTTTTTAGACTAGTGTTATCTCTTGATGAGTTTATTGTGTTACAGTGTGTCCTGGCATTTCTCTACCTCTCTCTGTCCTTCTTCTTTCTCTGTATGTTTTTCTGAAGATGATCATAATGGTGCATCCATGTGCTGTCGTGCCGTGACGCTCCTGGCGCTCGATCCAACATTAATACCCCGGTCATAGCCGAGCAGCTAAATATGTAGCACTCTTGCACATTGGGTATCCATTTACACCTGGGTGGAGAGTGGCAAATGATGATCAATGTCTTGCCAAAGGACGTTAGTGCTGGGCTGGGATTTGAACCCTCAACCCTTAGATTGAGAGTCAAGTGAATGAACCACTATACCACAACATCTCCACACCTCTTGATCTTTCTCTCTCTTTCTCTCTCTTTCTCCCTCTTTTTTTTTCTCTTTCTCTCTCTCTCTCTCTCTCTCTCTCTCTCTCTCTCTCTTTTCTCTCTCTTTTTTTTTCTCTCTCTCTTTTCTCTCTCTCTCTCTCTCTCTTTTCTCTCTCTTCTCTCTCTCTCTCTTTTCTCTCTCTTCTCTCTCTCTCTCTTTTCTCTCTCTTTCTCTTTTCTCTCTCTCTCTCTCTTTTTTCTCTCTCTCTCTCTTTTTTCTCTCTCTTTTATCTCTCTCCCTCTTATTTCTCTCTCTCCCTCTTTTTTTCTCTCTTTCTTTCCAATTCTTTTTCTCTGTTGTAAATTTGTTTTTGAAGTGATGTAATGGCTCTATTTATGATAACCTTCTATATAAACCAAAGAGTCATGCCTCATCTTCAGTCTGCATGTGCACAGCTAAGTCAGGAGAACCTTATCCTGTGGTTATATTGACAAAATATTTAATTGTGTCTTTAAAGTTGGGAACTTTATAAAAGAAAAACTGAAAATGCAGACATACTTACTGATGTCAACCCAGGAACAAACGTAGACAATCCAAAGTTTGATTTGCTTTTATTAAATCTAGGGTTTGCCAATTTGACCCATAAGCAGGTTAAACGCAGGCAGCGGTAATTTGTATTCTTTTGTTTTGCTTTGATAGATGATATTGCTCTTCCAATTTAGAACACCCTCCGGTCATCCTGGAGAACACTTGTTTAGAGGTTTCAGTCTGACCTGTAATTCAGTTTGTTTTCTGATTTCGCTTTCATAATTCTTTTTTTTTACTCGATGATTCATTCTTCCTTAAGCCTATTTTAAGGTGAAGCAAATCTTTCATTATTGGCATTTTGTCATTCTTTATTTTGATATATTATTATAAGGCATTTAGGATTGTTTTACAATTATATATTAATCAGAGTTTTGACCTGTGAGTAATGTTAAGATAGAGCAAGATAGATATCGGCAAGTCAGTGATTTCTTGATAGAAGCATAAAAGTCTTTTAGATTAAAACCGTGGGACATGCATGCAGGGAGATGGAGAAAGAGAATTTATTTCTTTCTTTCTTTAACAAGTGTAATTTTTGCCAAGGTGCACGGCTACATTTAAAGAAGGAAGAGAAAAAGAGAGAATAGATAGATAAGAGAAGACCTACTTGGGAGAAAATAAGAACCGGGTGAAGGAGATTGAGGAGAAAATGGAAATGCAGGGAAAAGAAATAGATATTGTCAGGGATAAGAATATATAAAGAATGTGTAGAGAGAAAGAGAGAGAGAGCGAGATAGAAAGAGATAGAGAAATAGAGAGAAAGAGAGAGAAATAGAGAGAGGTAACAAGAGAGAGACAGAGATGAGAGAGAAAAGGAAAACATGCACAGATGAAGACCGCTCTGTGAAAAAACTTCAGTTTCAGTGTCAACAACTAGGCACGCTCGTTTTGACCGCTACCAAAATATTGAAGTCGAGTAACGTTATACTGTCTCCAAATCGATATCTTGTATCGCTGCGTTTAAACGTGACCACAGTTTAGAAAAGTGTCAGCCTGTAAATAGTCCGTCTTAGAAATCTCTGAGTTTGTAATTACACGCGAAAGCTTTACCACAAAGTAATTTCTACTTCAAGCAAAGCTGCCCCTCGACCATGTTTATTTCCTTCCTAACAATCCTGTAGCGTCATGTGGCTCTATATTATAGGAACACTGAGGTGAATCACTTTTCCAGAGTGTCACAGATTTGCAGTTGATATATCAAGCCCATGCATTCACAAACGCATTCAAGAAAAAATGGAGATATGACCCTCAATTACATCTTCAAAATCCCTTTTATAATATGGAATATATACAGCCTCAAGTACTGATTTGATTTTCAATGCCTTTTGTGCAGCATCACAGCATGTGATAAATAATGATAGCTGTTCACTCAAAACCACCATTACTGTTTGATCTAATCTATTTGTTCATACTGTTCATGGAATAATTAACATTTGGAATATCAGATCACAGTTCAAAAATCATTTTTTAACCTACCTCCTCTATTGTTTTGTATATGTGAACGATCGATCATGATGTGAAGCTGTGAACATGCAAACAAGAAAGTCACGTTGAAGGACATCTATAAACATCTCCTTCCTAAATGTCCTTGCCATTGTCTGTGTCGATTCAAAATATCAGCCCTTCATGTGAGGACACCATCCCCCATGTGATCGAGAGGGGTACATTCAGAGG